AGTAAGCGCGCGCAAAGAAGGAATCGAAGAGGGCAGAGCTGTTCAGGAAACACCCAGGGCGGTTGAGTAAACGCCAATTATCGGGTCCGGCTGGTTTTTCCTCCCTTGAGTCGCCGTCCACGTACCGGGCCCGCAGCGCCGAGTGCCGCCGCGCGGCGGCCGCGTAGACGAGCTCATCGGCGGCGTCGACGAAGCCGTCGAGTTCCGCCTCGTCATAGTCCCCGTGCTTCCCGGGGTGCGAATGGAAGTCCTTGAACTCCGCTGGGTTGACCCTGCCACCGAACATGCGATGGAACAGGCAGACGCTCTCGTCCCAGTCCTCCGTCACGCCGACGAACTGAAGCCTTGCAACGTTCGTGACGGCGGTATCCACGTAGCTCTGGCCGTGGTCCCATCGCGGATCGTCAATTGCCGAGGCGTCCGCGCAGGTGCTGCCCGCCAGCATCCTTGCGGAGCAGCCTGCAATGCCTGGGAATCTGGCATAACAACCTGCGCCGCGTGTCATGCACGACTCTACCAGCCGCTTCTTGACCCGCTCCGTGAAGCCCGAGGCGTGGAGCTTGTCTCGGTGCCCCGAAATGAGCCTCTGGGATGGCCTTCTAAAAAAACCGACGACATTGTCGGCAGAGAACCATTCCTGCTCAAGGGGTCGGTGCTGAGTCTGGAACCGGGATGACAAAACCCCAGGATCGCAATATATCCTCTTTGGATACCGGTCCATAACGGCGAAGTCGTAACAATTACCGCATGCCGCGGTATACCAGGCGTCGACGTAGAGGTCCAAGGGAAGGCCCTCCTGCCCGCACGCGTAGTTCCAGATGGTCGCGATGAAGCTGGTGCCTGAGGGAGATCGCGAGGGGGGGATCGGCGGTACATCGCCGACAAATCGGCGATAGGCCCACGATGGAACCCGCACGTTTCTTGGCGGGGTGGGCTATCGGGCCCCATTCGGCCATCAATGGGTGATCGTGCGGCCAATGCCCTCCTGAGCCTATCAATACCTGGTGGTCTTCCCGGGCAATAACTCGGGTTTCCCGCGGCCCTTCGGGACGATCCAAGTATGTACCCGCTTGTCGTCCGGTAAAGTTTTATTTAATGGTCCTCGTGCCCAAATGATCACTGATCACGATGAGGCTGACATCTGCGCGTATCCACCAGGCTTGCGACTGGAAGGGGCGCCACGCACGGCGTCGCGCGACATTTGGACACCAAGGCCGCTCGCCTGAAGAAAACCCTCAACGTACCAATGGCGCTCTCTGGGCGGCTGGGGACTGCGGGGGGGTTCCACGTTAGCCTGTGAATGCGCTGAGGAACCACCCTGGGCGTCTGGTGAAACCCAGAAACCCTTAACGTCTCCAAGAGCTTCCAAGAGCTTCCACATTGACGCAAGTGGGCCCAATCGCTCCACAGGAGCCTTGGGGGAGAAAATCGGAGAACATGAGGAAGAGCGCGACGAGCCCCAAGCGAGGCCCGATACGACCTACAGCGAGCCCCCCGCAGAAGCCCGCAAAGAACCACTCGCGTCCGCCTCGGACCCAGACCCGCGACCGGTGAAATGAAACATTTTGCGATGTTGGCCAACCCAAAGCAACGAAATCTTTCATTTCACCGATCCGGCCTGGCGGGGGCTCCAGGGGCGGACACTGCGCGCGCCCTGATGCGGCAGGCCGATCGACGCAGGGCCGCGCCCTCGATTTAGCGCGCGCACCGATCTGCGGCGCGGCGCGCGCAGCCCTGCGCCTGAGGCCCGCGGAGAGTAATGGTGCACATATTCGTTCGGGCATGAAGGTTCCCATCGACATTGCCGGGTAACCTTGAAATTCGCTGATTGAACGGGATCAAGTCGCGACCCGCGACTATATAGGCACATGTGGCCTCGATGTCTGTTCGGGGGCCGCTCGAACCAACCAAAGGGCCGATGCATCGCGCATCGCGTCGCCTCCCATCAACACATGAAAACACATCTACAACGCGCACGTCCTCCTCGAGGAGGCCAGCAGCATCTTGCGATCGCCACGTTCGTTTGGTTTACACGTTCCGAGGAGGCCACGTTCGTTTGGCCAAACCGGTTTACACGTTCCGAGGAGGCAGCGGGCAGCGAAACGAAAGGCCCCGCCAGATAAAAATTACGGTCGCGAAACCCAAACAACCAGTGAAAGATAAAAAATTCTGGTTCCGACCAGGCACCCCCGAGACGCTCTCGGCGATGACCAGCCGCTGGAGAGCATCCCGAGGAGGGGAACACCGCCGAGAGCCGACGAGAACGCCCGAGACCCCGAGCTTCTCGGACCCAAGAGCGCCGCTCCCCGAGCCCATCCCCGCCGACCGTCGCCCCCGGGGTGCCTGTTTTTGGGATGTGCAGCCACTGCAGCTGGTGCAGCCGCTCCAGCTGCCGCCGCACCACGGCTGGTGCCCCTGGCGCCGGCTGTGCCGCGCCGCTCGCGGAACGCGGGGTCGCGGCGCCGCGCCGGCGGGGCGCCCGGCCCGCGCCCTCGATCATGGAGTCGAAGTGGCTCCGCTGCTGCACGCCTGCGTGGATGACCGAGATCCCAGCCCTCCGCAAGGTCATGAAAGAACAGCGGCAGAGGGTGTTTCTAGACGTTCGGCCTGGGGGAACCCTTTTGACCAGGTCCAGGGACCGTCAAAAGCGACTCGGGATGAGAACGCTGTCCCGGGGAATGGGTCGAGACATCTGGGTGTCGACGTCATACTATAAAGAAAGCATGACGTCGGGGGCCTGGGGTGGTTGCTGAGGGGATCGAAGGCTTAATTCTGAGTGGTTGCTTGCGATGGTTGATGATATCTGGTCTGCGATGCCCTGCGAGCGGATAGCGCGTCGCTCTGCTCAGCGGGACGGGAACCGGGAAGCAGCTCGGGACGTGGACGCTCGGATAATGGAACATGGATAGCGTGTCGCGCCGAAGCGTGGTGGGTCAGAACCGATGGCGCGACACGCTACCTAAACCAAAATTCCAAACCTTACCATTACTTTCCTATGTGTCGCTTAGTCTGTTCCGTGGGGCAGTGGCTTACGACGCGACCGCATAGTGAAACAATGCGAAAGCGAGAACGAAGGTTTCGCTAGCGAGCGATGATTGTGCCAACCCCATGCCAAATCTCGATCGTGCACCGAGGGCGCTCAGTAGATCACAAAAGGCGCCGTCGCCAAAATAAAGACCACACACTTCCATATTTCGATGCAGGGTGTTTTGAGGCGGCGCCGCCGCCAAATATCATCAGCTTGCGGCAAGAGAGCGATCCCGACCGAGAACGACCCCGACCCGAGAGAACGCGAGGCGGGATTCCCAGGGAGCACAAGAATTCTTGGGGCCTGGCGGCCACGGCATGCAGTCGCCGCTCGTCCAAGACGCGGAGCGGGGGAAACTGCCCAGGGAGCGCCGGGATCCTTGGGGCCTGGCGGCCGCGGCATGCAGGCTGGGCGAGGCGGCTCGCGAGCTCTTCTCTCCAGACCCAGCAACCCCAAGCCTGTCGGGTGGGGAATCGCACGCCGCAGTCCGGGGACCCTCGGCGTCGGAGACCCGTCAGCGTATCGCATGGATAAACTTGGTTTGGGGGGAACGAAAGGGGGGAATAGCAAAGGGTAGGGTAGAGAATCAGCTCACGTAGATAATTTTCCCGGCGCCTCCCGGCGCCGGGAGGCGCCCATGTAGCCCATGTATCGAGGAAAGGGTCCGACGGCGGGGCCGAAACCAGCTGCATGTAGCAAATTTCGCCCCCCCCCCCCCCCCCCCCCCCTTCCCTAAATCATCACCCCTTTCGTTCGGCCCGATTGGTCTCCGGAGAACAAGGCGACGGCGAATGACACGCTGACCGGCTCCCGACACCGACATCCGAGTTCAGTACGCGGCCCCAGTCCCGACCCCTTCCCCTGTGGGGTAGTCCTTCGTCCCCGATCCATGTTTCATGGCCCAGGGGCCCGATACTGGGCCCCATAGAAACCGAAATCGAGGGAAAAAAACGCCCCTCTGGAACAAAAAAGAAACAAGCATCGTTGGAGATCCGGGAACGGCGGCGTGTCATTGACACTCTTCTTCCCTCTCGCGAGCGCCGTTGCCCAGCAGCCCGGCGAGCGCGGGCGCCCCCGCGCCTGGCGTGGCCCCCGCGCGCGCCCGCTCGCTCTGCGACAGCGGGTCCTCGTGGGCGAAAGATGTATCCGTCTCCTTGGCCTCGCGGGCTGGACCCCTGGGCCGAGACCCCGTGGACACGGGGAATTGTTGTGCGCGGATGCCCAGCGCGGAGCGTATCCGTGCGACCGCGCATCCGCAGGATCGCGCCCCGGAGTCCAGAGCGCGAGGGCGCGGATACGGACACTGTCGGTAACTGTTGAACAGCGTGTTGCCGCGGCGGCCCCAGCGACACGCTATGCCTTTCGAGTGGATAGCGTGTCGCTCCGCTCCGCGGGGAAAGGGGGGTCGGAAAGGCTCGGGACGTTGACGCCCGGGGACCAGGAAGAATATATAGCGTGTCGCGCCGAGACGTGGTGGGTCAGAACCGGCTGAGCGACACGCTATCCGAAAAAAATCGACCGTAGTTGCAATCATAGTGCTACCATTAAGGAACACCGAAAACGAGAACCCCTCCTCAGCCCAAAGTGGTCCTTAATTCAGCGTCTTGACTGTATGTCCGCCGCTCGCGAGGTCCTGCCTGGTCTGCAGCAGCGCGCCATCCTTGGCGGCGCGCACAAGGGGGCAGGAGGAGTCGGGCAGGCTTCTTAGAAGGAGGCTGCCTCTTAGAAGGCGCGGGGCCCGCGCCTTCTAAGAAGCAGCCTCCTTCTAAGATAGCCTCCCCCGCTCCTCGGGACCCCCTCTGCGCGTTACTGACATCCTCCGCCGAGCACGCGGCCTCGCTGGAGCAGCCCCGGCCGGCGCCGGAGCGGCCCAGGAGCGCCGGGGCCAGGGCGGCCAACCAGCCCGGCCGCATCGCCGTGCTTGGCCCCGGGGGGCGCGCGCTCTCCGGCGCAGGTGGTGCGGGGTGTGAGCCGCGCGAAACTTCTGCCTTCCCTTCTCCCGAGCGCACGCCGCCACCGGCTCGTCTGGCGCGGGCTTCTCCTGGCAGACTGGGAGAGGCTTCTTTCCTGGAAGCGCATGTAAATCAGGTGGAGGGGGCCGAACAATCATTTATTGTCCCTGGGTGCGTGGCTGAAGTGGGGATCCGTGGTGAGGATTTTGCTTGTTGCGTTGTTGCGTTGATGTTGATTGTGTGTTTTCGTCGTCCCAGCCGCGACCCACCCGCGACCCACGCCGCGACCCACCCCGCGACCGACCCCGCGACCCACCCCGCGACCCAGCCCGCGACCCAGCCGCGACCTATTTGCGATCAACCCGCGGACTATCCGCAGTGATTTAACGAACACATCTGTTATATAATGTGTGAAGCTTTGGCGCCTGCGGGCTTCTCTAGAGTCTCGCAGACTGCCGATGCCCCCACCGCCCCCTCACTCTTATCCGCATCTGCGGGGTGCTACGGTAAATTGATAAATTCGGCTCGACGGCCTGCCATCGAATCAGCGAGACCCGAAGCCTGTTATAGCATGGCTGGCGGGGCTGACGGCCTTCTTCCATCCATCCCTCCCCAAAGCCCCTGGCGCCGTGGAAGAATCGAATCGCGACTGATGGTCTTCTGTTCTCGCTAGTTTCCGCCTCCGCGGAAGCCTAGGCGGAGTGGGGCTATCGGGCCCCAATCGGCGACAAGTGGACGATTGGGGGACGATGCATCCCCCCTTATGCCAATCCTCCCCTATCGCTGCATCGGGTTACCGGGCCTCGGCACAATCGGAAAACGACTCAGGATGAAAAGCCAGTCCCAGGAAGGGGTCAAGAGCTCCTGGGGTCCACGATGTGCCGAAAATCATGACGTCGGGGATCGAGGTTCCCTCCCTCTTAATCGCTCTCCCTTCCTCCCCACTCCCTCCCTACTTCCTCCCTCTGGTTTTGCTTTTTTCAGTGGGGGGTGGTGTCGCTGGTGGCGTTAAGTGATATGCGCCCCGCCCAGCCCCACCCCTGCCCATGCCGACGTTCGATCGATCGCTTCTCCCCCCCTCCTCTCTCCTCTCTCGTCTCTCCTAGTCCTCGTCCTCGTCCTCGTCCTCGTCCTCCTTCTCCTCCTACTCCTACTGCTTCTTTCTCCTCCTCATCCTCCTCATCGATTTCCTCCTGCTCCTCCTCGTTCTCATGCGCTGCTGCTCCTCGTCCTGCTCCTGCTGCTGGTGCTGCTCCTCGTCCTCCTCCTGTTTGCCCTCTCTCCTTCTCCTGCACCCACCATTCCCTTCACGACGCGAGGATGACTGGGGAGGTCCTCGAAGGTGGAGGCCGAGCGAGGAGGGGGACGGGGGATGGGGCGGGCCGCGACTGCCAGCGCGGGAAGACCCCCCGTGGCCTCCGAGAACTCAATCGGGTAGCCGCCGAGCCAATCCTTCACGTCCGTCCAAAAATCTCCTGCCCCTCCATCAGGGGGCGGCCGCTTCCCCACCGCATCTTTCTGTCATGTTTTGTTATATGAATATGGGTTGTGAACGTTAATGCCGCAATCTGAACGGGCAAAGAGCGGGCATTGCAAAGGGTCCCCGAGAGACCCGGGGGTCTGGCCGTGGGAAATGACTTTGCGCATGTCCTGTACCAAGGGGTCGGGTCTCTCAACTCGGAGACATTGGGTACCAGGTCTTCCGACTTGGAAACCCCCCTCCCCCCGTAGCCATTTCGGCTCAAACCTCAGATGCTCGAGGTTCAGGCGCGCGCACGAGTGCTCTAACACGTCTGAGTGGCTCCATCATCGAGCGAGGCTAGCGAACAGAAAACAAACCTTCCCAATCTCACGGTGCCAAAATAATCTCTCCCCCTCATTCTCCTCCTCCCAATCCTTCTCCTTCTGGGGCTCAGGTATTGATGGCCCGCTGATGTGTTGCTGAAGCTGGGTCGTGTGCTTGCTCTGGGATGTCGGAAGTTAGCCCTCTGGAGCGCACCGACCTGGGCCCGTGGAGGGCTTCTGGCGGTGACAATCGCAGAGGTGACAGCAGAATCAATATAGCGAGGGGACCGGCCGGTCTGACGCTTCCCCTGGATGCGTGGCCGAAGTGGGATTCCGCGCTGCGGAATCTCGTCATTGGCATTGCTGTTGGCTCCGCCCCGCGACCCACCCGCGCCACCCCATGACCCACCCTGGGGCACACGCGCGGCTCACCAACGCTGCTTCGCAGAAGCAACACGATGGCGTTTGCGGCGGGATTGTTGCGTAAAAGGAAAAATGGCCCTGCGGCGGGCTTCGTTACCTGTGTTCCCCAGCCTTGTACCCCCTGCCCCCTGACTCGCGCCTCGCGATTTGTCTTTGCTATAGATACGGCTGCGGGTGTCGGACTCCGAGGGGGGTCATCGTTCGAGCTGACAGCACGCACCCATAGCCCTTGAGGAAGTCCACCTCGACAAATCTGTGGGTCGTTCTAAGTATGGGTGCTAGATGCCAACTCATGATCCAGCGCTCCATGCG